GTATCTGTGAAGGTACAAAAGTGAGCTGTAGTCACACAGTCAACAGTTCAGGATGTGCTAGGTCTTAGAGTTCACATACCCAAAGCATGCTCTACTGGTGTTAGTCTACACATCATTGGAGTCTCCTGTGTAAGCTGTCACATTGACTAGCCACGTTTCTGTAAGTCTGCATTCAACTCAAGTCTATGTTCTTGTCAGGTGAACATGTATCGTCATAAGTCTGGTTGTTTGAAGGTAAAGTTTGGTCGGTCAGCATTAATAATTCTTTACATTTCTAACATTGAATAACATTCAGCAGTTATTTGTTTTGTTCACCAGCTGTTATCTCCGGTAGAACATTCTGGTTTTTTGTCCACTTGTAGACTTTAGTCTTGTTCAAGAATCTGAGTTGTATGCATGCACATCTGGTTTACATATCTGGCTTATTTGTATGCAGACTGCTGGTTCCTCACCAGGAAATACCCCTAATTAGTAGATTGTATGACATGCTTGTTATGGGACAGTGGGTCTGTAGTGGGTCTGTTTTTTCTCTCTCCCACAATGGGGCCCTGGAACCCACACTGGGATTTGTATACAATAATCTTTTGCCTTTCCAGACGACAAAAGTGGTCATGTCTGTCCACAGATCTGTTGTGTGTATGTAGGAGTGAGTGTTCTGGATCTGTTCTGTTGATATCTCTTCCTGAAACCGTCAGACACTATCCAGCATGATATCTTTGTCAGTTTCTGCCCCTCCTCTTTCTAATCTCTCCAGTGGCCATGGTGTTTCTTCTTCCTCCTCCTCTTCTGCCCCTCTTCCTCTTTATTTTTCTGCTGCTGCTCCTCCTCCTCTCCTCTATTCTTCTGCTCCTCCTCCTTCCTCTCCTTGTTGTAACTGTTTTAGTTCTCTGTGTATGTACTGTGTGAATGTGTTCTGACTATGATTGTGTGTATGCCTGTTTATGCTGTGTTTGTGTCATCTATGTGCGCCTGTGTGTGTGTAAGCATGGTGTATATATGTCTATGATTGTGTGTATGCCTGTTCAATATCTGATGACAATTGCGGAGAAGTCCTCTCGCTCTGCCTATCCTCCAAGGGACCAGACAGAGGAAACAACCCACTGACCGATCTACCCGATCTAACTCGGAGGCCAGGAAGACGCAGACAGTTACTACCGAACCACAGGAAGATGCCCCGACTACCAGTGAGGCCCTGAGTGACGTTCCAGCGTCACCTGAACTAACACAGCCAACTCCACAAACATCTCCAGATCGACGAAAGACAGGCAGCTATGAATTTCCTGCCACAATATTTCTACGACAGACCAGCTCCAGCCGGACAGCAATCACTACACTGGCAACGCTAACATTGATCAATATGCTGGAGATCATATTAGAAAAAGGGCAGTTGTAAAGATTAGGAGAACTCGTGAAGGAGTGATAGCTTCACTAAACAGAACCAACCGCACCTCAGACATGCTTGATGACATCCAACACGACGGCAAGAAAGCACTCCGACTATCCGAGGAGATAACTGTGACGGCTACAATCTTCCAGAATATAAGACGCTGGGTGATCCGAAGAGTCAACCTGCAATGGAGCAACGAAGAAATTATGCAACAAATAAGGAAAGAAAACCCCAATGTCAACATCAACCAAGCAGAGAGACTGGGCTCAAAACGGCATCCATTGCCAGTGGCGGTGATAACATCGGAAGGAGAACACATCCCGGATAAAGTCTACCTAAATCAAGAATGCAAAGACCAGAGCAATACGTGCCACAGGTGATCCAGTGCTCTCGTTGCCAAAAAGCATGGCACTCCCGGGCCACTTGTGTGAGCGAACATGAAGTATGCCGATACTGTTCACAACCCCATGCCTTCAACAATTGCCCGCTGGCAAAGCTGGACACAGACTTTAGGTCTCCCAATCTGAACAGGAAGTGCGCAAACAGCACAGCACCAGATACCTGGGGTGCCCTTATCTGCAACAATGCAGAGAAATAGCAACCACGGCCATACGGGAAAAGATTCCATACCATGAGGCCCGCAGAAGACACGAAGCAACCCAAGGCATAACTGCAGCCATTACCACCAAATTGAGCAACGAGGTGGCTCAACTCAAAAGTGACATCCAAGCTCTCAGAGACGAGAAAGAGGCATCCAAATCCCAACGAGATGAAGACAGAGATGAAATAACAGGCCTGAGAGCTATAATGCAGGCGACTCTTGACACCCAGAAACAGATGACAGCAGAGATGACGAAATTCAAGGAGGACATCATGAATGCACTGGCCACTATCCAGACACAAAAGGAACAACCAACTAAAGCAAGGGAAGACGAGGCGGGCATCAATAATCTGCGGGATAACCAACAACTTCTCGCGAAAGAAGTCGCAATGATCAAGAAGGCACTGGCTGAAACAGGAAAAGTTACGAAGAGCATACGAAGAAAACAACAGACTTAATAAGGAACTGCAAGCAACCAACAGAGTGATGGAAGAAAGAGAGAAAGCACGGAAAGAGGCAACAAGAAGGCAGCAAATACAGGGAGCCGAGACCCAGAAAAAGCCACATCAAACACCAGATAAGAAAACTCCAACGCCGCTGATGAAACAGTTTGCGGTAGAAACTACTAACCAAATAAACCAACGCATCAGGGAGCTGGAGGACCCGAACTTCTTTAACTCAGAACTGCAAGATGATGATGTTCTCTGGTCACACCAGAGGAACCATATCGACAGCCAAAACCTGAAGTCAAACAAGGTCGACACCGTTACCTCAAACACTAATACCAGATACGACACAACCAAGGCCAAAATTACCGAAACCCTATGTAGGAGTAGTACTCTACAACAAGGATACAAGAAAATCACCAAATAATACCAGACCTCACCAGTATTGCCATCAATACCTGCCCAAGTCAATCGACCGCCGGTCCTTATTAGGATAGGCAATTTACTTTCCCCGGAAACAACAAACAGCCAAGGAATACCACAATAAATCGATTCAACATCCAATCATCTTGAGCGCAGCACTGGGCCAGCCAAATTACAAAAGCAACAGCAAGAGCGGAAACCACAACAAATAGAAAGCGACAATATTGAACACAATCCAAAACCAAATGAGATCGAGACCAGAAAAACGTCACCACAAATATAGCTGAAAGGAAAGTGAGCAGAAATATGAGCGGACCTAGCTGAAAGTGGTCAACGAAAGAGAATTTGAATTTGTATGCCTGTTTATGCTGTGTGTGTGTCATCTATGTGCGCCTCTGTGTGTGTAAGCATGGTGTATATATATATATATATATATGCTTGCATGAGTCTGCTATGTGTATTTTTGCATGTATATTTAAAAATATGCATTTATTATCCATGCCTTTGTGTTTTTAATTTACATTTATACAATGAATTTTGAGATATGATTATAAAATGCTTGATAGATAAAATGCCACTACCGTATGAAAGATGAATACTTGGAAGGGTCGAATGTAAGATGGACTTGCGTGCCCAATTTGTAACCCTTTAGAAATAGTTTGTTCATTTGTTATTTTTCTTCATCACCATCATCATCTTTTTCGTTTGCTCCTTCTCTTCCTGCTTCGTCTCCTCGCCATACTCCTTCTTTTGCATCCCCCCTCCCCTCCCAGTGGTGTTTGGCACATTGTATTCTGGTTTAAAGCCAGGCTGTGATTTCTGTGCCTTTCAGCTCAACTCATCCAATTTCAGACGGTACTTAGTCTCCATTAAAGACATGCTAGTTAAGGGTCTACTCCCTTTCCCCAAGATGGTCCCCGAAACTCAGTGGAGAGGTGTTCTTTCTTGTAGTTGCACTTAGGGCTTTTTTCTAAATTTGTTTCTTTGTTTTGTTTTGTTAGGTATCATTATTTTCAGTGCTTATGTGGTAGGCACTTTATGGTGGTCTGGTTTTCTCTGGTTCTTGGCATCCCATGCCTGTCATGGTGGTATAATTCTCTCCTATCCAGCATGCATGTCCAGACCATTGTAACTGTGACTGATCCACTCGGGTTTGTAGGGACTCGGTTTCAGCATCATGACATATTGTCTGGTTTTGAACCTTGCTCTCTTCTTGTCACTTGGACTAACTACCTTTCTCAGAAGCAGGCCTCCTCGAGCTGTTGTCACTGCCAGTGACTCACACTCATAAGTCAGGGCTGACACATAAGTAGAATGGTATACAGTCATTTTTGTCCTCTTGCTCTTTTGCTAAAAAACAACCTTGATTTATGCAGCATCAAGTTAAAAAGATAACTGATTGTTTGGTTGGATCACTTATATAAGAATTGAATTCGTTGTCATTTAAGAAGCCCATGGAATGCCCATGCCATCTTTGCAGAAATGTTTCCTAAAAATAAAATTGACGAGAATATTCAACTGTTATACTAAGGGCATAGTTAATTCACTGTTTTAATGACACAATGTTAGTAAGATTATCTGAATATTCATAGTACAATTCCTGTCTTAATCACAGCCCAGAAAGATGTACATTTTTGAAACATTTATGCAGATTACATATTTGTTCTAAATAGATAATCGCCGGATTTATAAAAAAGCTAATATATACTCTGAGAATACTATAAATCGAAATTATAACCTTGAGGGTTGAATGGGTTATTTTTGTGAGAATTACAACTGCATTTAAGAAGCCTGTTGTTAGTTTTTTTTATGAAACACACATTCAGTTATTATTAGCATTTTTAGATCATTGTTCTTACTGCCCTGGTCATAGGTATGACACCCCACCTTCTCCTTCGGGGAAAAAATAGTTTTTTCCTGAGCTAGGACTGTCCGCATCGAGCATTGATAGCATAAAATTAGTACGAACAGTGTTTTTATGAGCAGCTTTTTTGTGTGTGCATGTTATTTTTATGCCTCAAAAATGGTGCTGTCTGGCAGTTTATGTCACTAACCTTCTGTATTCTGTTGTTGATTTCTCTGTCCATTTCTGTTTCTCCTTTTATTTTACTCATGTTATTCTTTTGGTATGTTTCAGAGTAACATGGCTGAGGAGGTAACAGTCCCTGGGAATACAATACCTGAGTTGGTTGAGCACTGGGGCTCCACGGCTGAAAATGAAACCCCAGCTTTTGTCAGTATTCACGCAGATGGTGATAGACGGACACTCACTAGGAAGGAAGTTCTCGATATTTCTAAACGATTTGCATACAAGCTTCACAGTTCTGGTATCAAGAAGGGGTATATTGTTTGTAACACATTACCAAACTCACTAGAGCGTGTGGTCTGTGAGTTTGCAACTCAGTTTGTAGGTGCAGCTTCTCTCAACGGCCAGGTTATGCGCTCTGATGGCGAGGATTTCTTTGAAAGTTTGAGAGTTTCAAAGTGTCAGGCTGTGATCATCGACCCTGATGTGGCCAAAGGGGCTAACCAGATTTTGTTCAATGGCAAGCCATATAACGGTGAGCATGTGTTGAAACTACCACAGTGCGACCCTATAGAAATTATTGTGTGCCGTCGAAATGATGACAGCAGTGAGGACGATTTTATTTCAACGATGAAGAATCCAGACCTAGAGCAGTTTCGTGCAGAGGTGTCTCCAGAAGACCTGGCGACTGTCATGACAACATCTGGAAGTACCGGCTACTCCAAACTGGTCAAACATTTGCAGTCAAATATATGTCATTTCTGCAAACAGGTCAAAGCAATTGAGCCATTTCAGAGCGGAGCTCGGTTCATTAACTGTGGACTTCTTGGCTGGGCAGGAGGCTACCCTCAGTGGTACCTCTCTTGTGGGGTCACACGATACTTTATAGACATGCACGACGGACCTCCGTCTGACACAGCATCACTTGTATGGAGAACCATGACGCAGGAGAAGATCATCTATGGTTTTCTGTCCCCCCTGTTTGTCAATACCATCTTAACGAAATGCCTCTGGAAAGAGTCAGAGTGGAGACCAAAGGTTTTATGTCTGGCAGGGCAGCCGGTGAAGAAGGAGTCAATGGAGATAATCGGGAAGATTTGTGATGCTGTGGACGTGAACTATGGCATGACGGAGTGCAACCTGGTGGCCTCACACCGGATTGTGGATCCTAATGATTATGTGGATGGATGTGTTGGCTATCCAGGTTATGGGGTCAAGCTAAAAATAGTAGACGCCAATAAGCAGGTATGTATTTTTTTTTTATTGTTTAGAATTTGCTCGCCGCAGATCAGAAGGTCCTGGGTTCGCTCCCTGGCGGTGCCAGACTTTAAAAAAAAAAATAACCTTGACTCCCAGTTCGACCCAGCCTTGAGTGGGTACCGGGTCCAGTCCTGGGGAGTAAAGGTGGCCAGTGTGATGCTGACCACATCACCCATCTTGTTCCGATTGGTCTATTAAATATAGGTCTAGCCCTATATGCCCTGTACGCCTAAAGGCGTGGAAAAGGGTCCTTTACCTTTACTTTACTTTGTTTCTGGTTTTATTGACCCCCATGTGGCCAAGCAAGCCAATTTCTTGAGGTCTCGGAGATAAAGTTTTAGAAAAGAATCCTTTGAATTCCTTGGACAGCCAAAGCGAGCAACCCAGAGACTTTGAAAAAGGCGAGGACTCAAAGACAGCATGTCACAAACTCAGTCATCATTTTTTTTTTGGCTCCTGTTATGAAAAGAAGGAATCTAAAATATGTTGTGACCACTGGGAAAGTCTGCAGAAAAATAGACATAGGAAGACTAGAGACAATTCATGGCAGCCTTCTGTCATAAACTGATGCATGTTTTAAGATCGCAGATTGTGGACAGATATGATCGCCCACGCTAGTCAACAAGGCACTTGATGATGATGATGTGGCTAGAGATACCAGTCAAAGAATGGAGAGCCAGGGCAAAATAAGTAGCTAGATTCTTGTGGCCAAATTGTATGATCAGTTACTCAGTCATGGTTCCAACTTCAGGGCAGATGGGTCAACCCATAAATTCTTGATTCCTGTGCCAATGAAAAACCACAACATTTGAAAAGTCAGACAGACCGCTCACACATGCATTGAATGCATAAGGCAGCTGCTAGAGGTGCCCACATCAACAGTCTGTTGCAATTAGAGCAGTTCACTGTTGATGGCAGTAGCAGGAATACACACATTACTGCTTAATGGCATACCACCAGTTCTGAATGCATCTGCCTGAGGCAAAGAACTAACAGTCTGCACTCAAATAATCTAGATCTGTAAAACAGATGAGCATGCAACACTTAGGTTCTGGAACCAGACTGAAGTCCTGAAGTGGACGAACAACCAGAACTTCCACCACAGTTAAGAACTAGAGAGTATAAAGAAGAAGAAGACTGCCAAGGATATTTTCTGATGTCCCTTTGACCCTAGATTGACCTGGATTCTCAGTTCAGTTCTAAAAACTTTGCATTGATGAGGTTGGAACCCAAGACCTATAGGTTGGCAGGGATAGAATCTATCCACTGTTAGCATCTAACCAATGTTTGAATCAGAGCTTTTCAGTTCTGTCAGTCCCACGTAGTATTTGATCTTCACCATCATCATTATCCTCTTGTGCAATTATATTCCTCCATTCCATTCTTTCAATCAGTTGAATGTGATAAAGGGGATTCAGTCCAACACTCTTAGCCTCTCTCATCAACATTCACCTCAGGGTTTCTTTGTACACCCTGGCTTCCTCAGTCCCTTTATTTCTAATTGCAGCGCAAGTTTAGTGATTCCCTGCTCATTTCTTCTCAGAATGTGTCCAACATAACACCATCTTCTATGTCTTTTAACTGTTGATACCAGTGGCAGCTCAGACATTTCTCTCATCATTTTTTTCAGGCATTTTTGGCTTCAGGTGTTGTGACGTGAGTGTGAATCTGTTTTTTTTTTTTTTGGTACCTTAGCGCAGTGTTTTTCAACTGGTGGGCTGTGGTCCACTGATGGGCTGTGGGCCTCAGAATAGTCCAAGTGGGCTGCCTAAAATGTCTGTGTTGTCATGTAACGGTAGGGAAGGTAGTTGTTGTCTTTCAGGATTGTAATCTGTGGGATTAACACCTCAGATAAGAGAATCAGCCCAAAATTTTAATTTTATGAGACTATTTAACAATTAAACAACTGTCTACGCTTGTTTTTGTTTTGTTTTATTGTTTCTGTGTTAAGCTGGCTAGCTGAAAGGTGGGCTGCACAACAATGTCCAATTTTAGTGGGCCCTGGTGTAAGAAGGTTCTGTGTTAGACTAGCTGACAGGTGGGCTGCACAACAATGTCCAATTTTAGTGGGCCCTGGTGTAAGAAGGTTCTGTGTTAGACTAGCTGACAGGTGGGCTGCACAACAATGTCCCATTTTAGTGGGCCCTGGTGTAAGAAGGTTCTGTGTTAGACTAGCTGACAGGTGGGCTGCACAACAATGTCCCATTTTAGTGGGCCCTGGTGTAAGAAGGTTCTGTGTTAGACTAGCTGACAGGTGGGCTGCACAACAATGTCCCATTTTAGTGGGCCCTGGTGTAAGAAGGTTCTGTGTTAGACTAGCTGACAGGCGGGCTGCACAACAATGTCCCATTTTAGTGGGCCCTGGTGTAAGAAGGTTCTGTGTTGGACTAGCTGACATGTGGGCTGCACAACAATGTCCCATTTTAGTGGGCCCTGGTGTAAGAAGGTTCTGTGTTGGACTAGCTGACAGGCGGGCTGCACAACAATGTCCCATTTTAGTGGGCCCTGGTGTAAGAAGGTTCTGTGTTAGACTAGCTGACATGTGGGCTGCACAACAATGTCCCATTTTAGTGGGCCCTGGTGTAAGAAGGTTGAGGAACACTGGTGGTCTTGGAAAATAAAACTTTGATACAGAAGCTAAGAAGTTATAGTAAAAGTTGAGATAAAATGGGTTAAGAAGGATGGGACAGAAATCAGTACTTTATAAAGATGAACCAATGAACATATGTGCAAGTCCACTGGTTTTATTCTTTTTCATGTGCACTTTATCCTCCAGTGGAGCATAGGCTTTCAACCAACTCAAGCCATGTCATCCCATCTTTTGCTGTAGAATTCAAATCACCACGACCTTCCTGTCGTATTAACTTTTGTCTCTAGTTCCCTTCTCTGTAAGTTTTTGTTGTTGGGGTTTGCCTTTAGTCCTGGGGTAAGTCCTAGGTGCTGAGAGTTAATCCGTCACTTTGTTGTTCTTCTGTTTGTGTGTGCAGGTGGTACCCAGCGGGACAACAGGAGAAATTTTGGTCTGGAGCCCAGCCCTGAGTCCAGGCTACATGAACAATGAGTCAGCCACTGCTTCTGCCTTCACAGACGATGGCTGGTTTTGCACCGACGATGCTGGCTATGTGGGTAAAGACGGGAAAATCTATGTGGAAGGTCGGCAGTCGGACAGTATTCATCGTGGAACATACATCCTCTACCCAGGATGGCTGGAGAAGAAGATGAGGGAGGTGTCAGGGGTGAAGGACATTGCTATAGTGGCTGTGCCCGACAGGGTGCTGCACCATGAGATCTGCGCTTGTGTTGTGGTCAGTGGCGTAAAGGGTGTTGTTGCAGGATTTTTACACAAGACTATTAACATGGGCGCTGATTTGTCAGCATCTTCCCCCAACCAGCTCGATTCAAGGGGGAGTTCAGACAGCCGGGCTTAGTCATCAACAACCAGTCTCAGTCTCTCCCAGCAGTTCTATTGCAGATTTGGGTGTGTCCTTGATGACTTTGACAGAAGATGGAGAAATAATACGGGATATGAATGTGGTTTTGCTGGAGACGCGGCTGCGAGATTTCGCTGATCAGTCAAATGTTCTGTATAAGGATGATGCCCAGCGAATGGTTCCCCAGTATTATGTGTTCATGGAAGCATTTCCCACAACCTCGACAGGGAAAATTAGCCGGAAGGAAATCCGAGCCTTGGCTGCATCAGCTCTTGGGTTGTAGCTAGTCACTTATTTGTTGTCTTGAGTTTATTTTGTTTTTTTCAAAAAGAAATAAAAATATATATTTAAGAAATATACATCATTACAAAATTTTGTAAGGGCATTGTGTACATAGTAATAACTGTTAATGTTACTTGTAAGTAAAAAAAATGTTACTTGTAGTTAAAAAAAAAAAAAAGATTTGTAATTTATACACAGTAATTTATACATTTTATTTCATTCCATTTTCATTTGAAATCAGATATGTTTGATATGTGAACTTTAACTTAGCTGTGAAATTGTTTACTCACTACTGTATTTCACATTTAGATCTTATTTATAATTAATTTGTCTATTTTATTGTTTATTTGTAAATTAATTTATTTATTCAGCACTTTTGTTGTGATTAATCAAATAAACTATTCAATGCATGTATTGTATTTTATAATTTAGTTGACTTTCAGTTGGGTGCTTTAACTATTTCGCCTCGAGAAAGTTAAATTGGTCATAGAGAAAGTTAAATAAGTCATAGAGAAAGTTAAATAAGTCATAGAGAAAGTTAAATTGGTCATAGAGAAAGTTAAATTGGTCATAGAGAAAGTTAAATTGGTCATAGAGAAAGTTAAATTGGTCATAGAGAAAGTTAAATTGGTCATAAGGACGTGGGAATTCCTGGAAAAAATATTGGAAATTTTTTTTACACAGGTCACAATTAAAAAATTTTTTTATTAGTTATTCTTTCCTCTTGGGCCTTGGGCACAGCATAGGGCAGAGTTCATAGCTGTTCATGTCTGGTGGGTCATTGCAACCTACTTTAGGTCTTGGATGTTTGTTAGGCCCATGATTGAGCCTTTCCTGATGATGTTTCTATGTAGTCTTTCTTGGTCTTCCTCGCTTTCTTGTCCCTTCCGGTGTTTTTAAAATTGTATTCTTCTTTTTCTTCAGCATTCCAAGCCCTTGAAACCATTGCTGCAGATATTACTCGCCTTTATTCACTCTCTTGTTGGCCTTCTCTTTCCAGTTGGTTACACCAAGTGTTTGCAGGTCTGTCTGGATATTATCTCTCCATCGTCTTCTTGGTCTGCCTTGTGGTCTACGACCATTTATCTCCCTCGTTTAAACAGTTTTTACATCTGTCATGTGACCTTTTTTCAATATGCCCCAAAAATTTCAGTCTATAGCTCTTATGATGCCAGCGATCAAAGGTCATCTGACATTCTTTATAAAATTGTATTAGCCTACATTCAGACAAGTTTAGAGGGAATTGACTCAAGAACTTGGTAACCACTCGCAAGGTTGATGGAAAGAAGGAAAATGGATAAATATTTGGATAGCTTATCCATAAGGGGGAGTCGGCGTGGCATAGAGGCTAAACGCTCGCCGCGGACTTATCCATATGGATTTGGGGATCTTTGTGGAGAAGTGATCAAGCTGTTTGCCTGGTGCTCTAAAGATCATGGGTTTTATTTCATGGCTGCACCGTTTAGTTTATGATTGAATTTTTACGAAGATCCCTAAAGATCGTCGCCAGAGCTACAGCTAGCCGTTATGTGGAGAGAGACCGAGCCATATGTGATAAAACCTGGTGCAAGGAAGTAGATCCTCTCGATTTTAATTTCAACTTATCCATATGGGTGGGGCGAGACAAAGACACTAATTTGTGACTATTACTCTGGTGACTGTGATGTGTGGGCTGGTGAAGAATGACAACTTATCGGCTCGGCACATGATTATGTGTTAACTCTTTGAGTCCTAGAGGATTTAGCATCACAGGCCCAAGGGGTAGTCAAAAGAGACTAAAATCAGTGCATCATGCGTTCATTGGGCTTCAAGGCAGTAACCTATGAATGTATGATGCGTTCCTTGGGACTCAGAGTTAAGATTGTGGTGATTTTAGAGTTGGATGTTTTAACCCTGTTTTCCGAGACTAAATCTAGTCACATCTGGTTGTGTCACTGTCGATACATCGGCCTGTTCTTAAAAAGCTTAGTTAAATTCCACTAGTTCTATGTATGTCAGGCTAAAAAAGATTTCATGGCACACCTACCATTAAAGCGGTTGAATACTTAGGGAAAGAAAAAAAAAGTGCAAATTTAATGTTCACTGTTTTTAAAGTGATAATGAAAAACTTTGATTTTATT